GATTGTTAATCTGTAAGATAAAGCTGTCTATCACGCCAGTACTCTTGATCCTTAGTGTGAAACAAAAAATAAAATAAAATCCACGATCAAGAGTTATCGTGGTAGAGTCGTCGTAGACGGGCAAAGTAAAGCCCCTTTTTTAACGGGGAACATTCAAACCCGAATCGCGTCAGAGGATATCTGAGGAATTCACGCAATTGAAGGGATCCGCAGTCTTAATTGAGATAAAATCCGATGCGGATACTGATACGTTAAGCATGCAACACGTAGAGGCGGACTGGTCCAGCGCCCTTATCAATTCTTAGAAAATCCCATAACTGCATTATTAATGCATTTTTCATCCGGCTTCAAAAAAGGAGGAATTGCTCGATTCAGTTGGATTGTTTTTTATGTTTTTTACCTTAGAACTCAAGTCATTTATGAAACGATTTTAAAAATTATTTTTGCATTGGGTTTAGTTTAGCGCTCCTTCCAGTACTGGACCGGGGGTTCGAGAGATACATGAACGATACACTCCTCAAAATGAAATAAAAATTTACATTTAATAAGATATATTAAATCGGTTCAGTTTTTTGATAATATAAATGTACTTTTTATGTAGGTTTTTTTTTCTCATAAATACCTTTTTTTAATTTCCTGACAAATTTGTTAATTTTTCGGGGTCAGGAACATTACCTGAAGAAAAATAAGAAAATACATAATGCACCATTAGCTTCGGATCAAATAATTTATTACCAAAGTTTACAGTCGTAACAGATAAGTAAATATAGGAATAAAACTAACATTAGAAATTAACCAATTGTAGTTTTTGTAACTTGTAATTTTACCATTTAATTTTTTTTGTACATTATCATAAAAATTTGATAAAGGGGAAACAATTTTCTAGAATCTAGAACTTTTCATTTTTTTACCGAAATTACGTTATTTGTGGCACACTACATGTAATTTATTAGGCTAAAAGTAAATAAAACAATTGCGAGCTAATCAAAACTATAAATAATTTGTGCTTAATAATTATTGCTCATTTCTTCGTATAGCAATATATGTTATATGATTTGAATGACTAACTCGCCTCACGTTTTCTTGGAAAGCCTTGCAAACATCAAAGTGTCAATTTAATCGAAAATTGCTAAATGGATGCATGATGTCATCGAAATAAATTGGCGTGATCTGTGGTTTTATTTATACTCTGTTACAATATTTATTTATTTATGCTTTATTGCACACCAATAACATAAAAGGTGCAAATTAGGAATAAATGTAAAAGGAAGTACAATAGTGGATCTTATCGCTATGAAAGCGGTTTCTAGTTTTATTAATTTTTGCTAATGAGACATAAAGAAGAGCGCAGGGGGAGGTGTACATGAATCACTAATAAACACAGAATGAAGGCATTTACATATCAATTTCAAAGTTTCGGGAAAAATAGAAAAAATATTATTTAACTATACATATATTTAGCTATACTAGGCATGTATAATTATATAAAGAAACCGCAATGCCAATTTTATTTAGATTTTTTTCAAATAACTAAGTAATAAATAACTTTACGAGGCAAGTCAGCAAATTATTATTAAAACCTAGAATCACTCATCGACGGGAAAAATTTGAAGGGTTTCAAGCGTTTATTTTTCTTAGTTTTCAATCTACTTGAGCGTTATAAAATGAGCAAAAATTTGAATGAATTTCCACTCGATTGTAATTTGTCGTACCTATGTTTAAAAGATACGCTATATGAAAGTTAGATTGGGTACTGTGTGCTTAGAAAATATCTATAGATCTATAGATTTGTTATGAAAGAAAAGTGATAAGTTGGTTAAAATGTTTTAAACAATTATCACTGCCAGCACATCCACACTACTTATCGCTACCAACATTTGACTCGGTGGAATACAGTAGCCTCGCAAAACAGAAGAAATTATTAGATTATAAATGCTTCTTCCTTACGTGTTTCTGCATAGTTAAAGGTATGTGAGATTAGCTAAAAAGTCTCGCTAAACGAATAAAATCGAAAGAGATTGATGTATTAACACATTTTTTTTAAAAACCGGACACTAAATCATCGCCTAAATATGGGCATCTAGCGTCCATTGTACGAAAAAAATGCACACGTAACATGCCACATACAATGGTGTGCGTGGCTTATCTATGTCGTGGCATCGTGCCTCGTGACGTCAGCATCAGCTGAGCCGTTCCGTCGAAAAGAACAGTCGGTCGAGATATATTTAGATTATGATTGAAACAGATGACACGAAACAGAAAATTAATGCATCCATTTATAATGATTTAATGAGGTGATACACATGTGTAATTAAAATATCATTTTTGACTTTGAATAAACTTACATGGTGATATCGATAAAGCTATAATAATCATCGAGAATAACAACCTCTAACTCCTTATTATTAATTGTTTTTAAGGAGGATGTGTAATTTTAAGAAAAAATATAAACGAATGAAATTGAATACCAATCAAACTTATTTCGACGGCATAGTGGTTGCATAAAAAAACGGAAAATTAACAGCTGATTGTGTAATAAAGTGAAGTGTAGTGACCTTTCCATTCCCTGAATATTCAGTGGAATATTTAAAAAAAAATCCAATCTCGCAGGGAACTCATTCAATAAATCTCGCGAAAAGGAAACAATATTATCATTCGGAGACGTTACAATTATATTATCACGTGTTATTTCAAATGGAGATCGTCGAATAAGGCACAGCTGTGGAACGGGTTTGAGCCGCATTCCTGAGGGAACGCCAGTGCCTCGCGCCAACACCCGATCGGGGAGGGCTAATTGCGGACAAAAAATAGACATTGCAGCGCACTTGCGACTGCCATCTAATATAAAACTGTTGTTTTGTACAGCGTCACCTGTCGTTCATTGCGTCGGCTCTATATTTAAATAACTACACGTTATACAAGTCCCTACAAGAGCTGTAATAGCTCATTGTCCGGGCGCTCTCTTTTAATTCAATGTACTCGAGCAACCTGAGTTCGATCCCCAGTGCCGGCACCAATGAAATTGTTAATTTTAAGTGCTGACTTATCACGTGCTCAGCGGTGACAGGAAACACTAAACAAGGAGCATATTTTCGAAATAATAACAAAAAATGTTTGGAAGATATGTGAAGTCTGATTCCGCAATTAAGTCACAAAAAAGCAATCCACAGTGGAGTCGCGTGGCGGACTTAGCCTTAATTCTCACTGTACACAAAAGACCTTTGTCTAGTATTGGGATATATAGATATACGGTGTTATTTTATACAAGTTTCTTTACTATCGATTTAAATAAAATGATAGATGTCTGCCGTTGTGCTCACATAATCGAAAAAACTACTTGATAGATTTTACTACGTCAAAGCACTAATTTTTTACTCACATTGACACTCACACTCCCTTATCTAGAAAAAATTGCGATGTGTTCATTTAATGTAAATTCATTAGTTTTATGAATCAATCGTTTTGACGTTTTACAAGATGGCGGCGTTAGTTCCGATTTCGACCACGTGTCCAAATATCATTGTGGCACCGTAGAGTTAGGTTAGATCTCGAAGGCGCTGTACGCCACCCTGTAGATGGCACAGACCTTTCGTGTGGGGTTATAAATATAATTAGACACCAAATGAAGTCGCAGGTATCAGCTAGTTGAAGTATAAAAATATACAGACTTTAACTCTGCTAGAGTGGCAACTAGTGCTGTTATATAAATAGTATAATAGTGAACTGACGTAAAGTAGAATTAATCGTACATTATACTTGGCGGTTCATCCGATGGCCGAGTTAACCTGAGTCCCTGTCATAAAATAAAATTCCCCAACGCGCCCTCAAACCACGGGTGTAATGATCCATGATCGGCGTTAATTTATTATATGAATAGCTTTATTAACATTAAGGCTGGGCTTCTTACTCTCTTACGTTAACTGGCGTTCTCAACAATACCTTACCTTTTAAATCCTTATAGCGTACATAATGTGATTTCACTCTCAAATGAGTTAATGAGCTAGGTACTCAACGACGACAGAAGATGCGACACAAGTGTCAGATACAAAATTAACTGTTCACACTTAGGCAGATTTCTAATTCTGCTTATAGACAAATGTGCGGAAATTGTAACCGAGCTTTTCACACGCAGTGGAACCCGGAAAAAAGCATAACTGCAGAACACCAGCAACACACGTATTATCAGGTGACCAGCTTTCCCGATTGCCTTAATTGTGTTTGGTATGAAACCAAAAATTATTAAACAAAGTGCGGATAATGAATAAGGCTGTTAAAATGGTTGCATGAAAAATGTAGATTATACACTATGGAAGTATATTAAATTATTGTGCTTAGTTATATTCAGTCTGTGATGATATTGGGGCGGGGAATTCGAAGTTTAATTCTGAGGTTCTTGGTTCGAATCTTAGAGGCGCTGTACGTTACTGTTTTTGGGTAAATTATCTTAGTCAGTTAGGATTAAATAATTTAAAGCTTTGGTAATCTTCAATAAAAGATTTCCATTTACAAATTTGGTCAAAAACATTAACATATGTTATTGAAATAAATTATACCTTAATTTATGATTACAAGAATTCTGAATGCATTTATTTAATGAGCTGGAGTAATAAAGTAATACTGGCGTAAAAAGAGCTTTCTAGCTACATTAAAGTGAAGTTTTAATAAACGGTATGTTTTTTGTTAGTAATTCTTTATTTTAGTTTTTAAAAGCGAACATTTTTTAATAGTTATCTACACATAATTTATGCAAATAGAGAATTTAATCCTATCGATCTAATTTTTCATTTGATAAGTTGTGTAACTATTACCCACCAATGGGCTTGTAGAGGCTGTAGCTCCATAAAAGCCAATTCAAACTTGCACTATCAAATACACACGCGCAGCTTGTTCGCGATTCTTCGCGACTTCCAAACGATTCGAAGCGAAAAAACGTTTGGCCACCGTAATAGAATCACAAGATTTGTCAAATTTCCGCCGAATGTAGCGGCCGCTTGGAAAATATGAATGAGTCATTTGGCACGGCGGATCTGGAACATAAAGGGTACGCGACGCGATTCGCAAATATAATTGGATAGTAAACCATCCCCCGCTTCCTAAACGTCACGCGGCGATCTCAAAAATGCTCTTACTCAACAGGCGTGGCGATCTTTTCCTTTTTCTTTCAATATGTAGAGACAGATACAGAAATAAGAGGCATATTCTTTGAAACCTACGCATAGTTCTTAAATAAATTGTGCATCAATTGAGATAGAGGCCGGCACTTGTCAGTTCAATAATAACAGTCATTTTATAAAAAAAAGCATATCCTATTATATCTATCTGTATATTCTCTATTCTGTAGATCTATATATGTTTTAAATATAAAACATACTTAGTTTTACTTTCATAGCCTTCGACTTGTGGTTATTTCATACCACATTGGAAAATTGAACATTGAATAAAATTATCATATAATCGAATACAAGCCAAGTTTAATTTTACATTGATTGAACGAAAAATAAGTTATATTTATCATGTTATATGCATAACATGACTATACTTGTCATAAATAAAATCGCATTTATCCTCGATAGGAAAACAACCCAATAGTTTATTTATTTAAATAGCTGTAGCCAATTCTAACGATTCCGTGACAAACACATAAATTGCGGACACCTTGAAATCCTATGCTTGTTTGTCGTTAAAGTCTTATTTTGTTGATAATCTCCAAACTAATGTATGTTATGCTACTATCAAAGTATATTAGTAAGATTGTTTTTATGCAGTGATGTTTTTTGACTTATCAATAATGAATCTAACATTATATTGTACGTATAAAGACAATTATATAAAGTTCTATTCAGGTTTCTGAGAAATATCAATAATAACTTTCATGATACATATAACATACTTTTCATGGAAATGGGGTTAATTTTGATTTTGAATTGTTGAACTTAATTACACGTTCCACCGTAATTTCATCAAGATGAAGACTTGAATTAGATGCAGGAACCTAGAAAACTTCTTTTTTACATAAATCTTTTTTTATGTGACAAGACTGCAGACAGGCAGCTCATGTATCTTTGAGTGATTATCGCTCATGGACATGGACGATATAAGGGGGCTTGGTGATGATGCGTTGCGACCATTTAAGAGTAGGCCCTGGTTTCCTCACTGCCCAGTCGAAGTGTGGTAACTAGTAGGTGGTATATAGAAGATGCCACGTGGCCCTAATGAGGTAAAATTTATATTCCTTCATACCTGCCAAGTCATCGTTTGGCTTATTTAGACTTACAAGTAATAATATGAATAAATAATCTCTATTATTAATATTATTTAAAAGGGCAATTAAGCTGCGTTGAAACGAAATGGGATACTTCAATGTTCTGATGTTCACAGAATGGTCGGTGGAAAGTATGGTTTAATGCCCTAATTAAGGAATTCTCGGCATCGGTCCGTCACAGTCCGTTAACTGATTAGATTGTTCATAGAGCGAGGCCGCTCGACGCACGCCTCTTATAATTTGCCTTATCACACTGACAGACTCAAGTGGTATCAGAACAGAGATTAGGGGCCATTCGTATCAAGTGCGCTTAATTGTATAAAGACTATAATATAAAATTTGTTAATACTCTAGATTTGGATTGAAATTTATGGCAACTTCTCTCTGATATTTTATTTTAATTGGATGATAAATGAAACTGAGGTAGGAACATCTCGAGTTAATTAAACAGACTTAAGGGTAAAAGTTGGAAGGGTTATCTCTAGGTGAATTTTTATTCATATTTTGCTCTCCACCCAACAAATCAACAAATAACCTTATATTATTTCATTCAGTAACCACAGTCTAATTAAAGCGTTGAAAGTGCATATTTTTAAAATATCTGTACATTCTAATGCTTCTGCGCATTGCGAAGGCGTATAGTTTCCCGCCATTTGCCTAACCTAATCGCAGATGCGGTTGCAATGTCTGATTTATTATTGTCGATTTCTTTGAACCCGGCTACCTGACGGCGCTGGACGCGCGCCAATATCGTCCGGAAAAAGTGTAGGAGTCAGGTTTATATATTTTTCCACATTCCTTTCTAAATATAATAGTGACGATTCGGCCGTATCATAATGACGTGCGTCCATGTCAGCGCACTGACGCCGCGCCCACGTCAGCCCACTGAATCACGAGCTAACGCCTTCGACTGCCCGTTCCCGCCAATTGATCGCTCCATCCACAATCTTATCTAGCTCCATGCAACGTTACTCTTCTCATTACCTTCATGTTAAACGTAATGAACGTAGTTGGCGAATGCGTGATTTCTTTCTGTGATCACGTCGGCAGCGATGCAGTCGCTGATGAACGAACGAGCTCAGATTATTCATTCTTGCTTTGAAGACGCCCAAGTTATATTCTGACTGAAGACAGATGGTGTTAGGTTGAAAGACGCACGTTCCAAGAATTTTTATGGAAGAAGGTGGTGAACGGCAGCGGCATCTTGATAAGATGCATTAAGATCCAGTCATGAATATCATAAACGCCCGAGGGTAGCGTTCCCAACCCCTCGTTATGTAACGCATTAGTAAATATACTTTTTATTTATACCAATCTTATGTGAGGCCCTCGACGTGCCTGCCCATGCAATAGCAACAGCTACTACCTAGTAAATCTAGGTGGTAGCTGTTGCTATTGCATGGGCAGTTAAAAGTTGCTTAGGACGCTAATCTCCTTTTGCCTTCGTGTACTACGAATTATTATATTATCTTTTTGTGATTTCGTTTCATTTTATTTATAAGGTTGTCTATTTACTTTCCAAACCTTACATTGTCAAACTCTTTAGTGACTTTATACTTTAAATTATGTGGGTCCAGGAATATCATCATCACATCTTCACCAGCCTGCAACAATCTACTAAGCAATACTTTTAAAGTAAAAACATTTATTTTATTTTATTTGTTCTGCTGATCAAGAATTTATTTCAACAAGTGAAGAAAATTTAGACCACTACACGCGTGAAATATAAGTCTAGATCTCAATGAATTTTATAGTGGCTTCGTGAGAGTATCTTATCTTAAGGCACTCTCGGTGGGCGGTATGAAACGAGCGACAACCACACCTTGTTATGGCTCTATTGCAAAAAACGTTTGTTAGCAATGTTCGTAGTAGGTAAATATCTTTAACGTTTTAAATTGTATGATTTTTCGGCCATATTTAAATTGTATTTAAAAAGTTAATTGGAACGTATTGATTACTTGTCATTAATTAAATATTTTAAAGGAGAGATTATCTGATTATATGATAATAAATAAATTCAACGACATTGTATGGTTTCAAAGAAAGTATGGATTTATTCCAGGGTATAGAGCTAATGTTCATTAATTTATGTTAATTATTAATTAATTTTTAAATATAAACTTCTGATTAAATAGAGTATTTGTCATGGCTTTTTATTTTAATCAAACTTTTTATTACTTAAATCACACTTTATATAAGAAGTCAAAGATCAATAGAACTAAATCAGTAGAACAGAAGCCAGTGTATTTAATTGGGTCTGAATAGCATATAATTTGAAAAATATTCTCGGACCGCACAAATATTCCAAAAGCGAAAATTTTTATATCAACAAACGGAATTGAATGAAATCTAGGATGGTCCAACCAGGTTAATTCAAAGCGTACCGTTTACATAATGTAAGCTTTTAAACTCACGCAAAAACTGCATAACAACGAGGGACAAATCAATCGTTGTGAGGCGATAACATTTCGGAGAGCGCAATGCCCGTATCCTAGTTGTCTATGTGTATGGGAGACCAGCAAACCGGCTCGTGACTCACGGATCGGCGAAGGTCCGCGCCTGACCGTAGCAAATTCAACCTCCTTGTTGCTCCGACCTAAAGCTTCTCCAAAATAATTGACTTATCTATACACGCAAATGCGCGTGTTGTATATAGCTGTTTTCCTCTCTATGAATCCTCGAGAGCATTCCAAACAACAAGAAATTCAAAACGAACATAAATTATGATATGAAGAATTGTTGTGACGTTTTGGTCAGAAGTATTCATGGATTTAATCTCAGTAAACTTTTGAATAGTATTACTTGTTATTGTAATTTCTAAGCTTTACATGCCTTTCAGTATAAGTTATGTCGATGGACTGAAATGGATTCTATTGCGTTAAGAATAAAGTGTACCTTCGTTCGACATTGCAAAAACGTAACAAGTCGCAACTTGAAGCACAAAGGCAATCGCCCTCCGACGAGACCCCACAAGATAACCTCCGCACAATTATAAGGCGTTTAACTTCATGAATTTTCCCTCCAACACGGGCATAAGATTTACTCAAACATGACTGAGTAAATCTTATGATGATTTTTTAATATACAAAATCAATATTGGGTATGATAAATACGAAGGCGTTGTAGATGAAGATTTTAAATAAACTTAATTTCTAGAATTCTCCCTTTTTTGTGATTTCCTGCAAGTGAAAAATTTTAATGTCACGATTATTCTTAGAATGAACAAAGTTTTGAAATAATCTATTAGTTTTTTCGGTATAAAAAAGTGTTTACGAAAGTATTACAATAGTAAAGAGCTTTGTTTCAAGTTGTGACAGGTTTTGACAAGTTGGTTCCTGAACCTGTTCAATCGGGAGACCATTGGTTTGATTTTTGTTCAGAATTAACCTGAATTATTTTTTATTTCCAAGATTCTTATTCGAATCAATGTTACTAATAAGTAGATAGTCTTCACTTGCCGATTAGAGTTTTAGGATCTTTTTAACCTCGAAATCCTCTTGGTAAACCTTTGCCTTATGAATGATTTTACTTTGGATCTTTTCTTAATACGGCGAATTACCATGCTGTAAAACAATTTTGGCCCTTGGTGTTAAACTAGGGGCCTTGTGTGAGAGTCACGTGGACGTTCAACACGGGCAAGGTTATTAACGGCCCGGTACGGTTTGGTCCCGCTCAGAATTAGAGAAGTGTCGTTATCGGCGACATTGACGCAGAGTTCAGCGATCGTCGCGGCCGCCGGAGCACGGTGTGACGTCACGCGCACGATAGCCTTATCGGGCCGCAACTCTACATTTGCCGAGCGCCTGTCTCCGAGAGAACCTAAGACTGCGTCCGCGGGTAAACTAATAAGTGTAAAGCGACGAGATGACCCGCACCCGACCTTTATCCGCGCTGAAGGTAATCATCAAAAGGCCGCCGTGCGCGCTTATCGCACACACATTAACGTCCCCGCTTGCAACTAATTATTCGTTGAACAAGGTCGCTCCACGCGCCGTTCGAGGAAGTTTCGGGCTTCGAGCATTTGTCACGTTGCGGACGATGCCGTCGAATCTTTTTCGACTTACTTAATCGACCGCGCTAATATGCGAGTCAAATTACTTCAGTCGACCAAAGTTAGGCGGTCAGCGTTGTAATGTAACAGGCGCCGGAATAACGTATGACGGAAGGCGCGATTGCGTCAGAGGAAACGGGCTTCTTTAACTGCCGCCGCCGGCGACTGTGATAGATAAAGTGCGGAACGGAAATGCCCGGCGGCCTGTCGATGCGGCGACAATGCCTGCGCTATTTGCGTTAAACGAGCGTTTTATTTCAGTCGGTTGTGGCGTGAACGTCCGCGCCGGAATTTTGGCCGCTAGGAATCCGATTCCGTTAGCCCGGTGCGGCCGAGAGCCGGCGGCGCGGCGGCTGGAGACTGGCCGGTCACTTGTTACCGGGCGGCACTGCGACCAGCGACACGGTGTCCCGACAACACGACCATTTGCACAAAAGGAAAATTCGAGACGCGGCTGACTCATCGCGCCGTCCGCGGCCGCCGCATTTCGCTTAGCAACGCGCATCGGAACGCTGCCGGCGCGATAAATGACTACTTTTTTTTTCGCTTTCACTTGCCGCACGCGCGTGTTCGTCCTCTTACCTTGGCGGGGTCGCGGCACCAGTCGACCGAGCACTGTGCCGCGCCGGCTTAACCACACACTGAATTGTACACGGCCATATCCAATCGTGAATCACTCAAACTCGGAGAGCGCTGCGCACATCCGGAGTCGACGCGTGCGTCGTGCGAGGTGTCGCTCGCGGAACTGACTGCGCCGGCGCCCCATTTGGGTCACTGTCATACGGTGGAGGGGCGGACACGTTCGCCTCTGAAATATCGGCGTCTCGCGAATATGTCTCGTCGACGGGCGTTCTCCCCTCCCGCTTGAGCGCTGACTTGAGATCGGGCATCTCGCAAAGTTCGCCTTCTTCGAGCGTTCTCTGCTTACTGTTAAAGCCTTTGCTAACTTATGGCGCGAAACAAAGTGCCTCGTGTCGAAAAAGCGCGGCAACATGTAAGCGCTCTAACCTATAAGAGACGGAATATATATATTTTTAAAACTAAAATCTGAAGATTTTGTAAATAATTACATATTTACCCGTTTTCTTCTTGGGATAAGAACAAATGGCTATAAAAACTAAAAGATATCATAGTAGAGTTAGGTGACAATTAGATTGGTATATCAAATAATGATTGCGGATGAGACCAATTTATGATATATTTCTATTTTAGTATTAGCATTTTATATTACTAAATGTGTATGAATTGCAAATAGTAGAGTTGTAGAGTCGTTGTATGTACTAGTCTTTAGATGTAGAAAATCATCAAAAGAAAATTTATCGAATATTCAAATAAAAAGTGAGATATGGTAGTCAACTGTTTATGTATAGAATACAACTATAGGATCAAAAGCAGTTTGGTTAGTTAATTGCAAGAATAATTTTATGCGTGAAAGTTGCGATACATTTTACAGAAATCAAATCTGGTTTTCAATTAAATGTAAACCCAATAATCTGTTTAGACTCTAGAAAATTTATCTTTTGTCATTGGCGACACAAAATTCCAACATTATGACATAGCCAAAGTTATCGCCAATTGTGTCTTTTCAAGACTGCATGAGTTGCGGAGAAAGTATGTTTTTATAAATTTGTATTGAATAGGTATTATTATACCTAGCGATGCTGGTGTTAAAATATATATACACATAGTAATAGAGTATTCGTCGTTGAGCTAATCACAAGGCACTGAAAACAAATAGGCGTTCTTAACATAGTTATTTCATGTTGTCATATAAATAAAGTGGTGATTACGTAGTCTCTCAGTTTTGTTCTAGGGCTAATATGCAGGAACAAGTGACTGAATCACGAATACCTCAAACTGAATTCACTACATCTCAATTGTTATATGCATTATCAGCTCTTCATTTATCTTTACCTGTCTTGTTCTCATTTAATTTTAACTGTTCGCTTGTTTTTAATATCGGACCAGCAATATATTGGATTATAAGTCTTCCAGTTTAGTTTTCACAATAATATAAAGATTTAATTCCGATACAAATGCTACAATACAATAATCCAATAGTTAATTACAATAACGAGGATTTTCATCAATGGTTATTTAAATTAAAAAAATATGTATTTCTATATAAAATCTTTTCTGTATATAGGCAATCTTTTCAAGTTTTCTACAAAACCTTATTAAATCATGACTAATAGAATTCAGTTTATCACCGAACACGGGAACAGAAATGTAGAGACATTATTTTTGCACAAAAGCAGTATAAAAATAGGCTCGTTGGTGTATGCCAATTATTTGTGCCAATGATCTTACATTGCAAATCCATATACTAATCACTAAGTTACCACCGTTATTTAGATCCATTTTCAAAGATCAACAGATAGGGTGAGAGCAGACCAATAGATAGGGTTGCGGACTACTTTGAAAATTTTAGGCCACCGGTATCCACTCACAAAGCATGAAACGTAAAAGTAATAGTACTTCCTCCATCTGATTTTTTGAGAGGCCATGGTACCGCCTCGATTGAGTGGACCCATTCACAACACAGCAAAAGCTTGGCTCTAAAATGCTAAAAATTCTATCTCTATATTTATTGTGGATAATCAATATTTTCTAGTCCCTTGAAACAAATCAGAGTGAAAGGTAAGTATAGCCACCTAGCCATTGTGATGAATCAACCATCCCATGTAAGTATTTAACTATAGTAGAGTTGCGGAACTCTCTTCTTGATGCGGATCAACTAGTGCTATTATAAATGAAACTAATTTTACGGATATCCGTAAAATTAGTTTCATTTATAATGTGTAATCGCGTAAATACAAGAAATTATTAACTAGTGCTATTGTTAAATCAGCTGGCACGTCCAGGCCTCACAGAACACTAGCGTCAAGTAAGAGTATTGTTGAGTTCTTGTTCAAATTTCAAACTCAGGCAGAATTATTGTGGATTAAACTCATTAGATTTTTTATTAAGAGATAAAAATACATGAATTTACAACACATCGTCGTTGATGTATGCACAATATGTACACACATCTATGACAAGGGAGGAGGGAAGAAATCGTGGTGCAAAGTGTCCTTAACAAAACTAAAACAAATGATTTCATAATTAAAATTAAATCTTTAACAAGCATTCACTTTCCCGTTTTGTTTGGCGACTGAGGTGAGGCATACGTAGTCTCTACCACATAGGTACGATATAAAATTATATTGTTATCTTACATTATTATATGTTTCAAAGACATAGTTTACATTTTTTTTCACGACAATATTTCAGAATCAATGAAGCATCAACTTTTTTATTACCTAATTGATTTAAAGATTTTAACGGAGTAAGGTGTTAATGAAAAATGTTAAATTAAAAAAAAGTAGGTGGTATTAGAAGCTGATTTGTCGAGTGTAATGGAATGCAGCACGTCCGGTGTCCGCAGAATGGTTAGAGGCGTTGAGGTGCTGTCGGCGGTGTAATTTCTCATCAATCAGAGTCGCAACACAGTAGCCGAGTAATTTCTTGATAGTTGTCCAAGGACTGCCTAATTTAATTTGTTCAAACACGTACGTATTGTGTCTGTGACTTTAATGTGGAATATCTTATCTTCTGTATATATATATATGAAAAAGTCTAAATACAACTCTTTTCTATATTCCCATACAAAAGATTCATAATAATACTTAAAAGTCAATTTGAACTTTAATACCGTACCATAACGTTTAAGTGTTAGTGGAGGGGTATCTCTTTGCTGTGCATCACTACATAGTATAAAACAAAGTCGATATTAGATCCATGAACGCTTTTCGGGAACTAAAATTAAAATGTAAATCGTAAATATATCTTATTCATTGTTTTTTTATGTGAAATGTTTTCAGAAAAAAAAGGATGCCAGGTGTTACCTTAATTTTTAAAAGCGAGCAGATTACTCCCCTACTACATAGTTCGAACCTGATGTTCGACAGTGAATACCACCGCCCATGGACATCTGCTAAACTCGAAGGTGTGCAGATGCGTTGACAACCTTTTGAAAATTGGGGTCCGGCTACCTCACTCATAATTCGAAACGCGAAAGTATTATATTTCCACGCCTTTTACGCCGGTCTTCTGTGAGGTTGTGGTACTTAGGTACCCGGACGAGCCTGCCCATTTGTGCAACGACCGAGGCTGCTGCTTGGCCCTACCACCGTAAAAAATATATATAATATATAAAAATATATATGTTCAAATACAGCGTTGTTAAACTCGTTAGTTATCATATTATGACGAATATTAACAAAAGTATTTTATAAATCTCATCGTGATTAAATAAATATAGCTCAAAAAATAGCTCTGAGGATAGTCCAAGTAAACAAAAACGCTGATCAGGATGCTGTAAAGTAATGAATAGTCAAGACAGTAACAGATACAGACTATTTTGGAAATATTCAACGTTAATTAATTAATATTCAATATTATACTTTATTGGTATCACAGAAAAGACTAATAATGCAGATAATAAAAAACCTTACAAGTATTCAATATTTCTCTACATAATTGAGACATTTTTATACGTGACATTTATTGGTCGCTCCATGTTCTACATACATAAGTATCGAATAATAAAACAGATTATACGACTGGCTGTTAAAGAAACTAATTTACGGAAATATTTATTATTTATATTATCAGAAGTAGACACCGTATTTTCATATTCAATGTAGACGATTGGAATTAATAAAAAATAATAAAAGGCTTTGCTGAGTTGGGCCACTGTTAATGTGCGGGAACTCGAAGTGAACACGCTATTTTTTCATGAGCCAGTGTGAATTCACTATCAAGAAGATTTCACTGGCGACCTTCAGGTGATAGTACTCAAGGGTTACATTTAGAAGAAATGTTTCCATTCAACAAAAATTAAACAAGGAGGAATAAATCAGAAACTTTTGTCGTATGATATGACGCTTTTATTAAAACAACTTTTATTCATCATCATCCTCTTGCCCTTATCCCAGCTAGGTGGGGTAGGCACAATTCGTAAATCGTGGTGTAAGTGGTTTTTGCTAGGTTTTCAACCGATTTTCAAAAAAGGAGGAGGTTCTCAATTCGACTGTATTTTTTTATATTTGTTACCTCAGAATTTTCGAGTGAGTGAACCAATTTTGATGATTCTTTTTTTATTCAAAAAAAAAAATCATCAAAAATTTTTATTCAAATAAAAAAAGAGTCATCAAAAACTGGTACTTCCCCAGCCCATATTAATTCCATTTATGTTGGTTCTTGGGGTCCGAACTTAGCTTTTGAAAATCAATTATAAAATGAATACAGAGCGAGATATTTGAAGTCGGTTTTGTTTTACGTCAATGAAAAAAAGGACTTGTTTACGACCGGTCACCTGCCTGACATCAAACCCTCCTTAAGAACAAACACCCACAATTATCTGTGGGCCACGCAAATACTTGTCCCGCGGTAATAGAAACCACGACCCCTGGCGCCGAAATTAATCTCCATCAATACCGATAATTGCCAATAGTACAGGCAATAATACAACAAAAGTCTCTTCATTACACATAAGTTTATCAAGAAGCGATCTAATTTATAAGCGTCTATCTCGATTGGGTGATCACAACGCGCTTGAAAGTTATTGAGAGCGTCTCTGAAGCGAGCGGCGGAATAGCGACCTCGGAAGGCCGTTATTTCGCCATTAACGAGAGCGCATACCGCATTTCGATTGAGCGCCTTTATAGAACTTTCTCGAACGGACCCGTCCCTCACCGGCAACAGACGACGTGGCGCCGACTTCTTAAATTGAAACCACACATGCCTTTATTCCTATACTCTACATTATTTACGACTCCTAAAAGTATTCGTTAAAAAAAAAAAAAGAGTACGGACCACGAGTCTGTAGAGTTAGTTTGGTAAAATAAAAAATAAAAAAAAGTATTCGTTGTGATTTGATAAATTGGATGTTAGTTTACTCGGAGATGAATTGGAAGCATGCAGGATAAATCTTAAGCATATTGAAAATATTTTACAAACATTCCTTAATACTAACATGTCTATATAATTATATAAAAAATTTCAACGACTATTACCTGCTCAGCGGTGAAAAAAAAAACATCGTGAGGAAACCTGCATATTTTCGAAATAATAAAAAAAAATTCGAAGATATGTTGTGACATCCGCTATTCCGCAGTGGGGTCACGTGTATGCCATAATGCTCTCAGTACAGAGGAGGCCTTTGCCCAGCAGTGGGATACGTATAGACTGTTACTTTACTTTACTTTTAATATATTACAACAAAATAGATAATAATCAAAAAATCTTTCATAAAATCTGTTTTGTGCGTTTCCTAGCGTTTGCGTGCTAGATTGTATATACTGAAAAATTGATTGAAGAACTAGAGTTGTGAGGTCGCGATCTATTGGAATATATGTAAATGTTATCATACTTCGAATCGTCAAGTAGAGAAACCACAGTGGGCTTGACATGATGCCTAATCTAAGGAATATGTATGTACGGTTATAAATGGCACTGCATAATAACTATATATATAATCAATATAATCAAATGTTAAAACACAAGGGACCTAAGGGATTTGTAATGTACCACTTTCACATGAGAAACTACATTATATTTATAGGACATATTTATAACAACCTATAGTGCCTTTTGTATAACATGAAGATCCCAATGTAAAAGAAGTGAAAGCATCAGTTCAGTAAAGCCTAGTATTTTTACAATCTTCTGCAAGATCGGAAGTGAAGAGTCGCGAGGGTGTTAAATGAAACTATATAGACAGTGGTCTAGGCCGTCACCTGGCGCAACCCTGTAGTCCTGGGCTCATAGAATAGGGCTAAGGTATTGTCCTGTCGTAAGAGGCAGCTAAAGGGGACACATGCTCGGTATGAGACTTTGTATCCCACGTCTATCGTAAAAGGCCATTGAAAGGGTCACTAAGTTAACAGTCGCTCGGTATTGAACTTTATTTTACAAGTTAGGTGAGTTCACGTGTGTCTAATATGGTTGGAAAATTGGGGACGGTTTGTAAGGAAGGCCCTACCATTGATGTACACGAAGGGCACTAGTGCGTTCCGTGGGAGATCCCAGAGCCCTGAGGGTATTTTACTGAGTAAGAATCACACATAACCCTGCCCTGAGTAGTGGCTTTATCTTTTAGGTGATTTCCCCTCCGATACCATCAACGGGTAGACACATCGCCGACTGCCGTTGAGCAGAACCTTGATGGAACCTACAAAGCAGGGTGTACGTGCATGCAAGACAAAACATTGTACTTTTTGTCCGTGATTTCAAAAAAATAGTAATAAAGTAAAATCCCCCGCGACTGAGAAGTATTTCCCTAGAGCGGGGACGGTTTATCAAAAAAGAAAGAATAAAGATTTACGACTGATATCGCGTTTAGTGTTATTCTTATATTTCATCTAATGTAACCATGGCTGCTATAAGTGTTCGCTACGAAACGCTAAGGATTTAATAAAAAAGTTTCGTTTTAAAGAGTAAAAAAAAATATATTTATACACTCAAGATTCAACACGTCACTTTGATTTGAACACGTTGTGATAAAGTAGTCTCAGATTAAAAATGTGTGCGACAAATTTAACATTATCTGACTTTGATCTTGACATACACAAGTATTCGATATTTAAACTATAACTTCACGAATGGAAAATGGAATAAGTCAAAACATTTTGAAACGATTTAAGTTTCTCTAGGATCAGTGCCGTCTTAAACCATACCCTTGGGTAAACAAGAATTTTCCGAGGGGTCCTTATGGAAAAAAGTTTCCAAGCGAGCAGGCGGTTCACCTGATGTTAAGTGCCGCCCATGGACATCTGCTACACCCGAGTGTTGCAGCTGCGCTGACAACCTTTTGAAAATTGGGCTCCAGCAAAAGTTTGTTGCATCATTGCAAGGATGTATACCCAAAATGTGCGCTCCAGAGCACACTTGGCGTTCGAGAGTGCTCTGGAGAACTATGAACTATATGTGGAAAATAGAATCTGACATACATGAAGTGATTTAACAAATTTTTCGTCTTTAAATACATTTTGCTTATTTATACGATTAGGCTGGGCCGTGCCAAACAAGTTCTCGAATTTTAGATTTTTACATATTCATTAATTTTTCTTTTGCTTCCTTTTTTTGCTTCCGACAAAATACATATGAAACACTTCGTCTCAAGATTTTAATCATTTCAGTCCCATAAATATTTAAAACTTAATAAGAAATTTAAAATTCGGGAACTCAATAACATGCTTAATCCTTTATTATAAAAAATTTCCAATTTTTTAATTCATCTTATCTTCATACTTCTTAAACTTTTTTGTTCGTTTAAATTTAATTAAAATATTAAAAGAGACCGTTCCCTGGGCCCCGTGTAAAGGCAATGTAAGAACTGTCTATTTATATTTATGAATTATTTTATTACCAGTCCAAATCTATCTTCCTGTTGGTCATTTTATTGTAATAAATAAATTTCAGCGTGATTACTGAACTGTTGTAGTGCCACGCAACAGCTTCTGCTGTTGCATGACTGTGCAAGCTCGTCCGGGGACGTACCACGACTTCACAGAAGACCAAAGTGATGTAAAAGTATTATACTTTTGTATTACATCTGGTGAGTGAAGTGACCGAGACCCATTGTTCTTAAAGGTTGGTAACGAGTCTGCAACACATCTGGTGTTGATCATATCTTATATAAAATATGATATAAATAATCGTTTATCCAAGAATGTAAATATAAATATTTTTAATGTTTTATTAACATTAGAGTTATAGTTATTTTCCAAAATAAACCTAGAAATATAGCGTTATATAAAATTCCCTTTACTTGCAATACAAATAATGATATTATTCTTAATTTATTGATTATTCTAAAAGCTAGAAAATTTATGAAACATAATTACAATAAAATATAGCTGTGCTTATATATTTTATTTTATTTTACTGCTCATTATATAGTATATGTACTACTTTTAAATTATAATACAAACAAAATATTCAAAAATACTTTTAGTTACATAACAGCTTTGTCAATTTATTATAAATGTGCTAATCTTGGACCTCGCTTATCATTATTTAAGTTATACCGATATCTTCTCATTATCACATTTCTTATAAGTTTCGCTATGAAAATTTATAATAAAAAAGTATAATTTATGTTAAAATGTATATCCCCTTCTTTTACTAAACATTATTTATTGTGACCAGTCATCAATTGAAGACTCAATTAACTTATCATTATTGAAATTTTTGTTTAATAATTCATACTTAGAAAAAAGGTAACTTCAAACCTTTGAAGAACAGAAAAAACAGCGATGTTAATATCTAGTCACGTCCGATTATGGTAAGTTTTGAATTTTCATTTTGTTAAATTCGTCACGTAGGGAAGCTCGTCATAGACAAGTTCGAGTGTGGATTATTTGATTAACAAATTAATATTTATGCGCTGTATTTACGTTTATAAATAATTCAAACCGGGACCTACATGGGAACGATAGCTTTCTTTGCGTATTTTATAATAATATTTAAACTAAATGACTCTATGTTCGAATTTAAAGTATAGTGGAAAATAGGAATCATTCAATGTTGATTTTCGAAACGAGTCTATTACATTTTATACCGTAGGTGCAGCCATAAATGATTAGTCAATAAGTGTATTAAATAAGCTGCTATATAATCTAGCAAACAGGTTTGTTTGTGAGATGACAGCAACGAACTATTAAAATATATAGCATATATATAAGAAGATACAATCTTTATACTAATCATAAGCGGCGATAAATTTTAAATGAAAACTTATCCAATAAAATAGATATCTCTCCTATTTGATGTGTTATTTTGTGTTTTACCTGTAAGCTATCTTACAGTATTTAACAAATTATTTTTTCACATAAATGCCCGTAAAATGATTTACATGGTGTTACTAATTTGTTTTTAAATTTTCAAAGTAACTTATCTATACAAAATTTAAATTATCGTTATAAAATCCATAAACTGGTGAAACCCACAAACTCATTGATATTGTAGGAGCCGCTATCATAATACATATATACATTATATTAGAAATCAAAATTAACTTCTTCGTTAAACTGAACATAGCGTTCAACCTTTTGGTGCCGATAGACTATTCATATTAATTTGTAATGAGAACATGACGATGATCAAATGCCATTCAAAAGAAAGGACAGGTTCGTAACGGTTTTTTATTAACAAATTAAATTCACAGAAAAACGATAATGATAACATGAACAGCAAATCGTCTACTCTGATTTAATACTTACCAGAAATAAATCCCTGCGTTCGTACTCCCGCCATCGACCGAGTACTGTAGCACAGATAACTAATACAGCGGCAGGCTCTCGTCGAAACGAGGCCGCTCTAGTGTACAGTGCAAAAAGTCGTCGGCGAACAAATGGAATTATCACGTTATAACATCGGCCGATGTTGGGGAGATGACGCGGCCGAAGCACTGTTTGACAACACATTAGAAGTGGCCGAGCTGGCGATTGAGAGGGAAAAAAGACGGCGAAACGGCAAGAGAAAAAAAATCACGTTCGCCTGGGCGTGGCGGGGCGGGACAGGGCGTAAGCGCCCTCAGCGCCGCCCCCCTTGACTCACCACCGCAACAAAGACTCCGTAGGCACGTAAAAGTGTTCGCAGCACTCGCTCACATTATCGACCTCAAATATATAACCATTAATTACTCAATAACTCATATAAAACAAACAAATAATGAGAACACGACAATCATATTGGCGAATTGAATCAAGAAGAGCGTTTTGCTTTGATTGATTCAATTCGCTTCATTAACATTATATTAATTAACATTCATTACAGCCCTTCTCAAAAGTCGACATACATCAAATATTGCCAAAACATTAACTGTAATATTTTCCTTCCTAAATGAGATTATACTGCCCGAGCGATAACTTGTCAGTTCGTTTTACACGGTGCTTACGCCTCTGAGATAACCTCGATACATTTAAAGCGAAAGAGCAATGAATGATGCTACAGCATTTGTTGTGGCTATAGCTTATTTTTAGGAGCACAATTGCTGTGGTGTCTTTTGTCATCTTGCGTTTTCATCAAATGTGTTGTTTATAACTGCATATTTCATTTAACATTGGCATCTTTTTTTATCAAGTACAGGAAACCTTTTTTTCTTTAATACCATTATCATGCTACTTTTTTGTCATTGTCTATTCAGATTGCTAGAAATAACTGGATAAGTTATTTCTAGCATAAAAGATCATTCGTACAGCTAAGCAATGCAATAACCTGCCGGCATCCGTCTTTCCGTCCGATTACAACGTAGGCGTCTTCAAGGAAAGAGTGAATAGGTTTTTACTGAGCTAGCGCGCTAACCATCAAAGGCTGCATCGCCACTTACCATCAGGTGGGATGGCAGTCAAGTGCTGGCCAGATGCAAATAAAAAAAAAAGTAAAATTAGCCCGTTAAAATGTTTGCAAATATTATAAAAACGCTATTAAAATTCTTTCTGTATCGACATGTGCTAGAATTTACTTACTCCTTCGCCTGCGTCTGTTCTAAGTTCTATATTTTTTTTAGTCGTATCTGTATCGCAGTCCGCCTCGGGTCATGCAGGTGAGTCATCTACTGACAAGGAGAGGGAGTGTTGTGATGACGTCATCTTCGACCTGCTGTCCTCATATTGGCTCCGTGCTTTGTTTGCCAACGAGTGTCTGCCCCCAGTCATTTCCAAGAATCGGCCGTTCATAATTTGGAGCCAAGTCAACAGTTCCGCTCCCGACAACGCGTTATTGTACCAAGTGTAACCAGGATTTCATTTTTTTGCTATAAAATAATAATCAGTATACTTTTAAAATACCCGCCAGACGGTGTTCTGTTCAATTAAATTTGTTTTATTAAATGAAATTGCACTGGCATTTAAAACCGAATCGATTTTAACACACGTCAGGAGGAGAATTGATAATTTCTTCCGCAAGGCCACACTCCATAAAAATTAAATTAAGCTATACCGAAATGATTATCAGACCAATGAAATGTTGCGCCGACGTTGCATGCAAGCCGGGCTTCGACCGGGCGCGGGTGAACGACCGCCAAACCGCGCTAATCCGCCATCTTGGATTCGTCACGGAGAGCGCGCGTTATGTCTTTTGCCGTGAGCTTGGGCATGGCAACACCATTCAATAACAAGACATTATCATTTACTGATAGATTTTGGAAGTTAAAAGACGAGTGTGCAGTGAGTATTAAAAAAGAGTGCACTAAGGTGATTCATTTTAAATGTGATAAACAGACAGGCATACCCCCTTAACCAGTAAATGCATTTCATTAAATTTTATAATTTCCCTCAAACGCGTTAGGTATTAAGTAGAGCTGAACTAAGGATGGGATATAACTTCAATATCTGAAGATTAATAGTGTCTATAGTAATTAATAGTGCCACAATTAAAGACGAATAACAGTAGACGTTCTCAAAATCTAATTTTGATAAAAATAGCACTCTCCAAAAATGGATTGTAGTTTTGGATGCCCATCCTGCTTTCTTATAAAAATCGAACACTCCAAGCGGGCATTGACTATTGTTAAGACTAGCAAAATGGATAGCCAAACCATTTCTATGAAAAACTGTCTCTCTTATGTTATATGCATAAATAGCGACAAACGTTATAAAAAAGTAATGTCTGTTGTATGGGAGCTCCACTAAAATATTTTTTTATTCTTATTTTTAGTATTTGAGGTATAGCGGCAACAGAAATACACAATCTCTGAAAATTTCAATTTTGTCACTATCACGGTTCATGAGATACAGCCTGGTGACAGACGGACAGACAGAGAGACAGACAGATAGACAGGTGTCCCGTTTTACCCTTTGGTTACGAAATCTTAAAAAGAATTTTACTTCTCAGGTCTAAAAATGTAAGGTTCATGTAGAGTTCCAGAAAGAATTCAGAACAGCATTCACTTGCAACTATCGCCTGCCAAAAACGGGAATAGTAAATAATTAGTGAAAAAATTAAATATTATCTCTTTAAATTACCACTACCATTTTAAAATTATTATAACCTGTAAAATCAAAATTTAAAGTTACTAGTAGCACCCAGGTCGTCTATAATAATTATAATATAATTACATTATCCTCGAACAATCTGAGTCCAAATCTGTAGTATTTACTTCGTATCTGTAACTGTAAATTTTAAGTACTGACTTATCTCGTGCGCAGCAGCGTAGGATAACATCGTGAGGAAACTTGTATATAATGTAGAGAAAATATATTTCGAACATATGTGAAGTCTTTCGATCCGTAGTGGGTGGACTATGTCCATTATATTATGGGTATTATATGCCAACAGCCTACTTACCTTTACTTTTTTACTTTAACCCAAGTTGACGCTGACAAACACAGATCAGGGGCAATTAATTGCAATTCAAGAACGGCACATTGGAGGAGCCATTGTGACAAAATATATGGGACGGTGAAAGAGATGACTTCATTGCCGAATCTAGTTAACGAGTCACAACAATAAGTTCTGCGAATGAGTCATCACAGATCAATTAAAAATATCCAAATTAAATTGCACTGACGCTAGCTCGTTCCGAAGGTGGTTTCCCGCTGCGTTCGACGTCGCATGTAGGTGACATTCCTCTGCCAATGGAGAAAACTTGTCGCCCGGCATTCAGGGCCCGCCCTTAACAGACGCCGAGGTCTGGTACCGTTGTTGCTAACGCCCGTCGCAACGAGGGTTGCCAATGCGAACTTTCAAATATTCCTAATTATATATCTACTGCACTAATTAATTGTTTTCCATCCTTCATTACTTTTTATCGCTTGATTTCGAAATTTTTAAACGTTTTTTTTTTTGAGAAAAAAGTAAATTCGGACTCTCAAACGGTCAATTAAACCAGACATACTAAGGTGTACATAGTGTCTATATATATATATATATATAGATATATACATGCAATTCAATCTTTATTGATCTAATATTTACAAGATTAAATCTATCTAAAATTACATATTATCTAATAAACCTAATCCACGCGGCATAGTTATGCTTAACCTTTGAGCGAGAAAAGAACCAGCTCTCTTGTCACTATATATATATATATATATATATATATATATATATATATATATATATATATATATATATATTAAGTAACTTTTTGATCTACGAATAACTTTATTATAATGTATAAGATGATGTAATCATGCTTATCTAAAAAGGAGTAGGTAGTTATATATTTTATTTAATTTAATGAGTATATAAATTGATTGAGTTTATCTATTTTCATCGTGATTTATGCTAAAAAAAATGATCACCAACTGGTTTTTAATAAGTGACCTGGTGGTAGTTTTGACTTTCATAAGAGTTTAAATCGACTCTTTACCGTATTAAGACGCGTCACCGTGATGAGATCCTACAGTAAGGGCAATGTTTTATGAATTAAAAAAAAGGAAGCATTGTTAATTGAGACCTTAAAGTGGATACCTCAAGATTTAGAAACATTAATTCTATACAGTTTGGTGTATTCTCTAGTACGGTTATCTAATAAAGTAACAAATGCTCTGCACCCCTACAATGTATCTAAGAGCGTCGTATTCATAAAGGTTGGCGCGATTTATCCGAATGGTATAGCTCTCAAGCGTCTCAAATGGCTTTTCAGAGTCAATACGGATAAACTTACTTCCATAGTTGTACACCTAAATACTATATTGCAGTCTACATTTATTTAGGCTATAAATAAGCTGTATACTAAATTGTATATTGGATCAACTTTGTTCTTTTTCTGATTATATATCTTGGCATTAAACAGATATATAGCTTAGCAAAGCTAAAACGCACAAATTACTCTCGTCTCGGACTGTTTCTTTTCTGTATATATGGGGCGTGGTGTGCGAAATGTAAAGTAATAGACTGTTTATATACATGGCCTGCTGCTGTGCAAAGAACTCCTTTGTGCAGAGGATATTAGGAACTACTTCACCACGCGACCCCAAGGCTTGGCAGCATTCACATATCTTCGAAATATTTGTTTTAGTATTTCGAAAATATGCAGGTTTTCCTTACAACGTTTTCCTTCACCACTGGGCAAACTTACGGCTCTTTTACTTAAGTATTATTATAGGACATTAGTCGCCTGAAATAATTCATCCTGTGTTATTGTGGTAGGACCATGCAACAGCGTTCACTGTTGCACGAATGGGCAGTCCGTCTGGGTAAATACCACGACCTCACAGACGACCGGCGTAAGGTAGAAGTGTTACAACTTCTGCGTTTCGTCTGGTGAGTGAGGTAGCCGGGGCCCATTTTATTTAAAATGCAGGTGTTGCAAAATGTCCATCGGTGGCGACATTAGAAACCCTGTATTAAGCAAATTCATGGTAGAGCCGGAGCTTTCAGACAAGAAGTCACACATAGGTTGTCTCGTATACATCCCCGAAAACGGCAAAATTATAAAAAACTTGAACTGTATTACTGCCTTTCAGTATTTCAAGCGGAACTGCTAGTAATAAGTAAAGCCTGCCAGTGAAGACTCCGACCCAATCAATAAAGCTAAAATAGCATCCGACCAGGTAAGATTAGCAACCGTCAAACAAAATAGCAACTAGCATTAGAAATGCAAAACTCAAACGGATACGAGGACACTTCAGCAGCAAAGGAAACGAAGTAGCTGACAAGGTCGCTAATTGTGCAGCCTATAATCGGACCTATGCCTCATTCATTCGAAACTCATTTCGACTTTCCCATGAGCATCGCAAGGACAAACTCACGTTCAACCAGCCTTTAGTCCTTCAAAAACAGTATGGCAACCCACTCAACTTTAGATGAAAATGTGCCAAACATACAACACCCTCCTGCAAGTCTTAAAAAATATAATAATTAATTTTGCGGTTACGCAAAAACAACGGATACTAGATATAAACAATACCTCAAAAGATTCAAGATTACTAACAACGACTTATGCCTTTGCGATGACACAACTACCCAATCTATCGTCCGATTAAACAATGCCCCAAATTTTCAAAAACCTGAGTAGGTCATGGAATTGCAACCTTAACGCTCAATAGAAAACCTTCAAATCTTAAAGAAATGTCAAACTACAATAGAGTTTCATGGAGTAATCATCTAAAAATGTATCAAAGATTTTTCAACCAAACCGGACAAAGAATCGTATTTATTTACTTTTATGTATTTATTATACACAGACGCTAGTACACACTTATACTAAACAACCGACATCTAGAATTTTACTAGATTCTAAACTCAATTTGAGTGTACCCGATATACTACTAACTAGGTACCGCGCGCATACCTGTTTTGGTCGAAATCAAAATATCCAAAAAAAAAAAAGATTGTTATTTCAGCTATAACCATATTGTTAGCATTAATATTAACCATAAAAATATCACCCGTACACGATCCAGATCAAACTGCTGAAAGAAGAGATGAAATCATCAACAGTATCCCATTGACACCAGTGTATCGCCTGCAGTCTATAAAATAATGTTTCTGGTCACCGGCTCCTAAGTGGATGCATTTTGCCTTAGTCACGCGTTGCCATATAGATAGTCTATGAAAGTAGTACGACATGGTTGGTCGTGTTTAAATAATGTTTTTTTTTTTTCATTATAAAATACATGATTTAAAATGATTTTGTATACTAATATTGCTCTGTATGCCAACGCATATATGGTCATTTGAATCGAGAATGTAGGTAAATAACATAAAATTATAAATTTTAAGACTGACACAAAAAGTATGTGTGTACTTAATACTTATGTACGCACGTAAGAAGTTATACT